AGACTAAGCCTATAGCAAAAATATGTTACCTGTATCTACAGACACTCCCACTGGTATGATATAAAAAGAATATGTGCCATTCTTGGGATAAAATTCTGGCTACATTGCAGTCAGGGGGAACCTTATATTGACTTAAATGAGGCCAGGATTTCTCTCTTGGTGTTCATTTGCTAGTTATGACTATGTGTAACCCATTTGTGTCTTCTCTCTGCTCAACACTGAAGTGTCACGCCTGTTTCATGAAAAGAGTGTATTTTTTGCTGTCCACTGGCATGCCTTAAACATTAATCAATCCTGCAAGTATTACACCTTTTGAATGCACACACACTGTACACATATGTTCTCAGTCAAATAAAAGTTTGCCCTATTCTGTGTACAGCATACAGATTTACTTTTTTTTTCTTCACTAAATCTTCTTTATCACTTACTTTGTGCTAACCATAGATTATCTTCATGCCCGTTCTTCTACAGGTGAGGAAAATCTTTTTCGCTCACCAGGAACAGCTCCACATCATTGTCATCATTTTTGGCTACTTACCAAAGTGACATAATTTGTTCATTTTATCTTTTGCAACTCAGTTAGAAACCTAGTGGCATAGATAGAGACACAATACTACTGTTTTACAAGACATCTATTGTAACTACTTTTGTTCAGATAAATACCCAGTAACTGCTGATTTGGCAGGAGGATTGGTAAGGGTACTACTATTCACAGTGTTTCTTTTTTTCCTTCTTCTTTAATCTACAGAATAAAGTATTTTATGTACATTGGAACCAGTTAATGCCCTTTAGACAAATTTGTAAGTTGTTTCATAAAGCAGGAAAGACATTGCAGGGAAACATGTGCCAAAAAGCACAGTCAAAAGGCTTCGTAAGTTTTATACGTCACTACAAGTCAATGCTGGAGATCAGTTCTAAAACGACCAATACCCGGGAGGAATGCTCTCATCTGGAGAAAATACTGCCCATTCCCCCTTTTACAATTTGTTCAGTTCTCTATCAAAAGTCCTGGCTCTTCATATATACTTTAAACTATAAATAAACACTGCATAGTTCAATGTTCTTGATTTTTTTTTTTGTTTGTTTCGATTTGAAAAATTATTGCAGTACAATTAATTCCTGTTTGGAGTTCAGTAAGGAGCGAACAGCACAGGAGTATGGGTGGTCCGTATAGGCCCTGGAGCTGGTCGTAGGAGTGCTGGAGGAAGTGCTGAAGTCTGGAAAAGGGTAGCTGCTGGGGCTGTTCGAAGACTGAAAGGGGAATTCACAGCCACAGCAGCAGCTGCTGCAGCAGCTGCTAGAGGATTTGGTAAGATTCGCGGAGCCATTGGCTTTGAAGGTTCCTTTGAAAATACTAATTTTACCTGTGGGGAAGAGAGAAAACAAACAAACAGAGAGAGATAATTTGTTCATATTAGCTACATGACAGAAAGCTTGACTTAGACTGTAAGTGGAAAATCAGGAAAGAGAGGCCTTGCACTGCTTACTGGCTCTACGAGCTGCAGGTTTGTGACAGGAGATATGCTCTCTCTCACACATCGAACAAGAGTGAGCCGGATTTGGTAGGGGACAAAGCGTTTCAATATTCGCTTGGCTGTGGGCTCATGTCTTATCACTGAGACTTATAATTTAATATGAGAAGAGAAATCAAAGCAAACTTAAAGAGGGACTGGGCAATCTGCACCCAAGTAAAGCTGCATGTGCCCTGCAAGAATTAAATAAGAAAGAATTAGCCATCAATTAGGACACCTCCATCTGGAGAGCTTCATGGTAAAGATGCAGAATGAAAACATATCCTATTCCCTGGTATGACTAAGAAGATACGTTTGTCTTTATTATTGTCAGGATGCAAGTTCTGCCTAAAATCCCCAGTTAGCTGCTCTTTATTAGCTTGTGCCTCTGAGAACAAGTAAATCAGAAACACTTAACTTGCACAAGTTATGACAATCTCCTAACTTTTCATGTGTTCAAACAGGCAATGAAATCTATGGACGCTGCCCTACATCATCTTGCTGTGTCTTCACAAGCCTTTTTCCACACAGATACTGTTCATTCGTACAAAGACTGTGAAAAAAGTGGCAGATATTTTTAAAACACTATCATGAAAAACTTTCATTTATATCACTTAAGAAGGGGCGAAACTAGGATACTGTAACTAATCACTGAAGCTTTCCGTTTAAAACTTTTATAACATGGGCCTTGTGCAATACCAAATACAATTCAGAAAATTTATGGTTTCCAAAGAGAAAAAAATTCTTGAGCATAAAATGGTTTATTATTTCCAAGAGTACTTAAAAATGCTCACAGAGGTCTATTATTATTTGAGTACAGAGCATTTACATTTTGTATGCACGCAAAAGAACACCAGAGCAGTCTATATAGATTTCTGCAGATTTCAATGGGATTTTAATTTTCTAATGAAAAGCTAGGAGCCTGAATACCTTTGTTGTTCTGGTTTTATAATTCTGAGATAAGGACATAGAACCCATCGAAGACAAAGAAAAGTTCCCATTGGCTCTATTAGACTTTATGTGGGGGTCCATGTCCTGGGATGAGCTGCTGTCCTTTGCCAAGAACATATACACAGTGTGGTACATCTCAGCCTAAGTATGGACACTTCTCACTCACAGGAAAAGACCAGTTTCTCATCCTTGAAATTGAAAAGGTTTTTCAAATAATTATCTTGCTCTACATTAGTCTGTTATTTTCCACTCAACAGTACTTGGTTGAGTGAATAGTCAGAAAAGAAGGACAGGAAGCATCTGGCATAAACCAGATGGCAAGTTTTATCATTACATTGTCACTCTATTCCAAAAACTTTTTGTTTCTCTACCATCCAGACAGATACTGGATTTTGACTCTTCTTATTACCCACTGGCAGCTCTGCTGGCCTCAAGGCCCTTTAAAGCTCTAGGAGAGACATTCAAAGGGGACCAAATTCTACACTTCTCTTAATGGAGGACGTAATGGGTCTCATAATGGGACAAATCTCCTCATTGCACCTATGAAAATCAATGATCTTATCTTTTTCTTGATCAGTGCTAGACCCACTGATCCAAGCTGTTTTTTTCTCTTTCTGAATACTTTACTTTTTCATCTTTCCTTACTATTTACTTCATAAACAGTTTTCTTCAGCCTCATTTACAATAGACAGTAAAAAACCTCAAAAACAAACAAACAAAAAAACCCTCCAAAAGTACAAAACAACCCAACAGGGTTCTTATTGTGGTCTGGGATGTTTTCCATCAGAGTCATTTTACTACATGGACTTGTAAAATGATCGAATGCCAGATAACTTTTTTCTCTGTAGTCTGGCATTTTATATATACTGGACACTTGTGGCTTAAAGTATCAAGTAAGTCTCAACATTATAAGATTTCTTACACTGTGATATTGTACCATGTGAATTCATAAAGCTTTTTTCTCTGAAACACACATAACTAGACTGGACAAGGCATTATAAACAACATATTGAAAACGTGACATTGGAAAGCTGTTGTAGAAAAACTATAAAAATGTACTAAGTCCTTTTTCTAACTTCTGCAGAAAAAACTTTGGTGATGCTGATGCATTTTTGTCATAAAGAGCAAAGATCTTAGGTACCTGATTGTTCATATAAAAAGGCTAGGACCACCTTGCCATTCTTGGAGGAATCAGAAACTTCTAATGACATTAGATAGCCTTTTAGTTCATTTATCAAAATGTTTCTGATTCTCCTTTCAAGATAGCTGCAATAGCAATAATATTTAGCATATACAGTACAATGTACGTTCACTTCAAATCTCTCTGCAAATACTATAAAACAGGTCAATATGAAGAGTTAGGTAGGCGCTATTCGTTTTGTTTACAGTAGACTGAATGAAGGGACAATAACTCACTTGAAAATTAGTGTGGAGTTAAGAAAGTTAGCAAAGTCTACAGCTCACCAAAAACATTTATATTAAAAGTAAAATTAGCACATCTTTGTCTTGTTGCTATGCCATTTGCATTTGAAGTGACAGCAATTTTGATATTTTTTCTATTCAAAAACAAAAAACGAAACGGAGAACTGCTCTTCTTCTTCAGTGCAGCCTCTATTCTACTACTGATATCTGTTAGTTTATTGCTAACTCATTCTCTCCCCTTTAAATCTCTTTTGCCTCTTTGCTCACCTCTGGCTTGACTTGTGGATTGCAAGTACTTGGGAGTGAGCAAGCAGGAGAAGGACACATCGCCTTTGTTATTTGTCTATGCAGCAAGTGAATGGTCTTGACTAGAGTTCTCAGAAATAACCACTACATATATAAGTGAACAGACGACTATGTGCTCAGTAACAGCAACAGTAATGCAATAGTTATTTCCATCCTTTGGGGAACAAACAATTTCCTAAAGGGATAATAATCCTGTCAGTGAGGCTCTAGCTATTCCATATCCTACTTTCTTAATTATATATTTTCTATTCCTTTCACTATAGTTTATATCTGTTGGAGACCTTGGTCTCCCTGGGGTTTTACTGAAAAACCCTATTGGGCCATTTTCTTACCAGTGGGTCTGCCAGAATGGTGCAGTACAGTATGTTACGACATCTGGGAAAGCGCCTACCCAACTGAGCGATGTATAAATATACCACACATTAAGGCTATCCCAAAAAGGACAAATTTTCTGTTGCCAGGAGAAGAGTGTTAGTTCTACTAGAAAAGAACTGGGCTTTCACAGAAAAGAACTCAAATTCTGCCTCTCAAGAAGACGGACAATGAGTAAGTGGATGATTTGCATGAGGCCAATGAGTCAACACCCTCCCACTGCCAAAACCCTCTATAAACCCTTATAAAACCATGTGTCACATAAAATCATGCAGTTTATCTGATGGAGATAAATGCCACAAGCTTCACTCCCCAACCCACAATATAAGCTGTTTCTTGACTAATGGTAGGATCCTAACAGGGTTTTTTTTAAAAAGTAAACTTTTTTTTCATGCTTTGAAGCTAACAAGAACTGTGCTTCAAAAAGTTTATGCTGGCAGTTGGGAATGTGACCAGAACCATCCTGAAAATGAGTGTAATGCACTGAAAGATGGATTTCTTTTTAATTGTTTCAATTGTTATCTGAGTAATTTTCTAAATTAGGGTAGAACTAAAGTTTTTATGTTTATAGTTTTATTTAGTCATTTCACCACTATTGTCTTTAGTGAAAACTGGAATGATCCTGTTTGGCGTCTGGATATTTCTTTCTGCTCTTGCTGTCTAATGACCTTTGAAACAAAGCTCTTTTCTGAGGTCATTCAGTGCAGTTACAAAACGAGCACAAACGGATTGTAGTCCAGTGCCCGTCAAAGAAAAAAAAGTCTCTTATAGGCATCCGTGGGCTCATTCAGACACTTCCATCACCTACACTACCCCTCTCATTTTAACAATTTTTCCACTCACATTTTCTAAAGGGGTTCTGTGAATAAGAAGGTGATTGGCTTACCCCTAGAGGATGTGTTCCCTTTTGGAGTTTGTTGTAAGGACTGTACTTAGGTTTAGGTGGTTTCCCAGCAGCTCTGTCTTTGTGCCTTCTACTGCTTATGTGCTGTTAAAAAATACATTAGAAAAAAGAATTAATGAGCATTATTTCCTTGACAGACCATCTCAGCTTCTGGTTTAGACAAGAGCGCTCCAATATTGAAGGCTATTGCTCTCCACAGCTGCATCACTTTGACTAATTCAGTAATGAACAGGAATTTGGTTTGTTCCAATTTAAATAACTCCTTTGTGAATGATGTACTGGGACTGTGGTTTTCAGAAGCACTCAGTTCTACTCGGTTTCCACTGTAGTAAATGAATTTCCCACTTTTGTTAACTTCAGTGGGACCTGAATTAGACCAAAGTTGGAAGCCTTTGAAAAATTCATCTCTGTCTCTATAAAGCACCTAGCAAATTAAACCTGCTGCTGATAGAAAGTTTTGGACGAACATTAGAAGTGGAGCATCCCCTATTCAAAAAAAAAGTGATGAAATTTTTAAATCTCTAAGAAGCTCAGAGATTCTTTTAAGATTTCAGCTGAAAGATGGTTAAATATCAAACTAAGTGATAGTGAAATAAAATCAAAAAATCCATTATCTTCTTCATAAAATCTATTAGATTTTACAATAATCCCTCTACACAGACTTTATTGCAGTACTAGATATAAGGGACTTATTCTAGAACTTTTTTTTTTACTTTAATCTTCATTCTCAAGAGATTTCTCAGAAAAAGAACAAAGACAGAAGAAAGAACTGGACTTTTCTTTTCCTGAAAACATAAGACAAGTATTGCTACTGTCCATTACAAAATTTATCTTCATTCTTGTAAAGTTCCGTAACAAGTATTTAATTCCAAAAGGCATATGGAATTAAACTAAGTGTTTTACAGAACAAAGACTTTGTTCATCTGAAGAATAACCGAATATAATTTGGTGTAATTGCAATTTGGAGGTCATGCTTCTCAGTTACAGAGCAACACTGATAAAAAAAAATTAAAAATCCTGTCCATCCCACATTTTTAAGCAGGTTATTTGGTGTTCTGTGAAAATACTTGTTGCACCCACATCTTTGTCAAGGCAGATATCATGCAGCACGCTAAATGGCAGGGTTTATCAGCTCATGACAATTACAGTCTAAAGACAGTTGTAATGTTGCAGCTCAGAGATTCTATAACTCCTTTTTAAAAAAAGATATAATCAAGAGCTTTTGAGAAAATGCATTCGTTGCAAGGGAAAATCATACCAAAACCAAAACACACAGCACAAAGGTCAAGTACAAAGGGCAAAATCTGCAAGCTCCATTTAGATGTGAACTGTCAGACTGACACATGCTGATTGTGTTGGTACTTTATCACCATGAAAACAAAGAATAGCCAAGGATTCACACTCTGCAAGCTAGCTGAGTACCTGTTTCAGTTGTGTCTCAGAGTTTACGTGCACATCACATATTTCACAGTGAAATGTTTTGTTCTGAAGGCCTGTGTTTCCTTTATTCACAGGTCCTTTGCCTTTTACGCCTGCCCGGGGAAACGCTTTTATGGTTCCACTTCCATTCCGAGCTTCCAGCATAGTTTTGTGCTTAGTCCCTGGAGACATTAGAAATGGGAAACAGAAAAAACTTTGGCAATTTGGTTGCATTCATTGTTTTATTTTTTTCTAAAAAAAAAAAAAAGAACCTCAGCTCCGTGCCATGTGTTATCCTTGGAATATGACTGTGTTTGCCTGTATCAGATTCATAGTAATGTAATCATATTTCACATTTGATATCTATTTATTAAATTAATTATCTGTAGGTAATACACTAGAACAAAGCAGCCACACCAATAGGTAGTGGCACAGTCAGGTATCCTGATGCGAAGTTAAATGGGTGTGACACTTCTCATTAATTACTGCTGCTAATAAGACCTGAATTGCAGTTGCAAAGGAAGAGAACTTTAGCTATTAAAGATGTAGTTGGCTTTGATTTGTAGTTCTCCTGAATGGATTGATAAACAGCGTGCATTAGGTAGCTTACACTTAAATCTGTAATGAACTAATTAGTTCCCAAATCACAAAGGGGCAGAGGTTCCTGGCAGCAACTTATGTATCTTATTGGTCTGGTCAGAAACCAAAACATGTGAGAATTATGCACTCTGCTTATATTTTTTATTAAAATAAATGTTAGATGGAAAACAATAGTGTCCTGTTGCTGTACCTTTATTCAGAATGTATTTCTTGCACTATTGACTTCCATATGGGTAGTCTTTGATGATAATGGACTAGTACTATGTATAGAATTAGTGCTCCAATAATAATCACTATATGCATCCACACATACACATCTGCAAGCATCCATGCATGTGAGCACACACACAATATATCAGCATAGAAGGCTAAATTTGGAGGTGTTTTGTGTAAATATTCAGAATAATATTTAGACTCTCATCTTGATCAGAAGAATGTTTAGGGTGTAGTCTTCATGTAAAGTTAAATAGGTTAAATGGGTACAGCTTTATTAACCTCAATTTATTCATTTCAATTTCAATGTATACCAGTTGAAATTCTGGTATACAGCAAACACAGCATTTAAAACTGATTAAGCTTTGTTTCTCATGAATACCAACAAATGATCATTTCCTTTTTAGTTTAAATGGATTCTACAGCCATGCCAAAGTTATTTCTTTTTTTTTTTTTTTTTTAATTACATCAGAAGACCATTCCTCATTCTCGTGCAGGTATACCATCTTTGTATTTCAGACCTGAGGTTATGTTTCTCTCTTACCCCTGTTTACTTCACTCTCGGATAATCCCTGACACCCCAAATAAGGGGACTGTTGTAGGACTATCATAGATGGTCACTGCTGCCTTATTAAATCCTAAGATCTTTTAACCCTGTTCACCACAAACCCAATCAATAAGATGTTTAAAACAGTGAATGTGAATGATGCCTCTCTGCCACTGGAACTTATTATTGCTGCTTGCTCTACTAATCAGAAAAGGTTTAAAATTTAAGAAAGACAGAGGTAAGCAACTGGCCATTCAACTCTCAAGCAGTAACCACTATCAGCCAATCAAAACAAAGGAAAAAAATATATAATTTTAAATAGTTATTAGCAGACAACATGTAGCCAAGAATTCTACCTCTCATCATTGAACTCCGACTGTGATACTCCCCATTTCAGCCTTAGTTGTTAGATTTTATGCAACGCTAAAGGCATTCATATGCTGTTTGCTAGCAAGCATAAACAACAGTATGCGAACTCTGAACATCAAAGGTAATGAAGCATGAGCTGTCACTTAGCTCTATAAGGTCTGGAAGCTGCAAAAGCTAAAATGTAAGAAAATGGGTAACTTGCAAGCAATAACATTCCTTTCTTCCCCCCCTTCATGAAAGACTCTTTGCTTGTCATTTTTATTCTTTAATAGTTAATGAATTCTATGTAATTGCCAGTTTTCCGCCACCTCTTTGTCCCCTGCTGCAAGAGATCTAATCTATTCAGGGGAAGATAATTGCAGAGCTCTTGAGAAAGAAGGAAAAAAAGGAAGAAAGTAAGCACTGCTCCATCTCACCACTGTTGTGCGCCTCCAGCTGCGAGGCAGAGTTGACAGCGACTTTGCATAGTGAACAGTACAGCAGTCTTTTTGCTTTTTCTTCCTCAGTCTCCACGGAAGGGCATGTGGTGCTGCTTGTAGCTGTCGTGGGGATTTTCTCCACTTTAGAGGTGATCTCCGTTGTCATAACACTGCTCTTCCGGATTTCCACGGTTGTCGTCGTTGATATTGCTGGTGTCCCTGCGGCAACGTCTGTGGGCAAAGGGAGGAGATGGAGGGAAACAAAATAGAAGGTTGTGACCTTCGGTGTTTGCCTGTTTGCATCCTAATGCTGTACCACATAGACAGCCAGACCACGCTGGTTAAGACGACTAATGGTAATGAACTAAATCTGACCTTACTCTTTATATTTCGTATGTTTAATAAAACACAGTACTCCCTTGTATCGAAATGCCATCCACTCCTGCATTCTGCTAACATGTAATAAATACAGAATTCATAAACTGACAAAACAGGTCATTAAGACTGTACTGTACAACTGAAGGATCATCTACTAAAAGAGATCATATAAATTGCCAGTACAATAGGCAGTTAATATTTACACGCAGCCCTTCAGGTCCATAAACTGCCATAGTGCTGCATAATACTTACTCTGATTAAGAAACCAACTTAAAGTTTTAACATTCTGTACTCACAAAACCAAAATTAAAATAATGGTACGTTCTCGATATCAGATAAAATAAAACATTAAATCTTAGCCAAAACTAATATTAAATGAATAGTAATCATTAGTACACAGCATACATATATATACACACAAATACTGATGAAATACACAATATCAGTGCTCAGTAGTGCCAGTTAACCTAGGAAGCTCTTCAAGTCTCCAGATGAGTTTTGCTTCCATCGGGTAAGTACTGGGAGGGCCTACATCTCTGCCAAGGACATGCCACCCAAGTCCTGACCACAACAAGGAGCTGAGAGCTTAAACTCCTACAAGGTTCCCACAGATCTCTCCTCATCCCATTTTGGAGCCTGAGTGTCCTGGACTCAGATTATATCCCTCTGGAGAGTATGGTAATCTCACCTCTCAGTTTCTTCCACTGAAGCTCACTTATTTCCTGTTAAATACCCGCAGTGCCAGAGAAAGAGAAAATTAGATGGCAGTATCATCTGGTAGTTAAGTACTTATCCAGGTACAGTACTAAGATCCAGCCCTGAGGTGGTGGAGAAGAAGGTGGGAAATAGGTGACAGGAGAAGGAGACAAGGGACAGGTGCAGTTCTGCCCTTTCGGAGAGAAAAAGCTTTGCAGTGCTATACTTTGTCATTTTAAATATATTGAGCAGCAGCTTCTCTCACAAGAAATATTATTTACTTTACTGAGATTATGCTTAGAATTAGTTAGTTTCCAGTGTAAACAGCTCAGTTTGGTTTCATATATCCCTTGCTGTTAGTGTGCTCTGCCTGCAGTATGCTTTATCTACCGTCATCTATTAGAATAGGCAAAATAAGTATTCTTTGGCTTGTAGGTCCCAGTATGTGTTGTGATGCTGGAGGGACACATTAAATAATGCCTGCAGAGGTATGGTTCAGACTAATCCTATTTAATAATTTCATTAATGAAGAACATGCCTACTAACTTAGCAGACAATAGCAAACTGCCAGCAAATGGAAACACACTGGGAGATATGATTCAAAACATATTGGAGAAACAGTCTATAGAAAATAAGTCACTTTTTCATAAAGACAGTTGCAGGAATCTACACTCAGTAGGATTAATCTGATATATTAAAACAGAAAGAAGAACAACAGCCCCTGTAGTGGGTTTTTCAGAAAAAGCTGTCAGTAGTGGAAAACAAGGTGAACGCAGGTCAGCTATACCATGCGGGTATTACGGAAAAGGTCCCCACCATACTGAGAGTGTAAAGTGAAAGATTTATGAAGTATTTTTTTTCCTCTAATCAGCACTGGAGGTCCTGCATCCAGTCTAGGGACTACAAACTTCAGATTAACAATGACTTGCATTGCCAGTAATTCAACAACAATACAAATGCAAAACAATTGGAGAGCGACTCCAGGAAGGGGCTGCAAGGTAAGAAACCAAAACGAATTAGAGGTTTAGAAAATATAGTCTAGGGGGAAAAAGTGCTGAAAGAATATGCTGAAAGAAATGCTGGAAGAATTGGTATTGTTCATTTAAGAATATGGGAGGCGAAGGGCAAACATCGACAACAGCTTTTAAATCTGTAGAAGGTAGCTAAAAATAAGAGAACAGACCCTTCTCCCTGATCCCTTTGGACAGGACAAGGACTATTGGATTACAGCAAGAGATACTCAGATTAGACATTAGGAAATTCTTTCTAATATTAAAGCTTGTAAAGCCTTAGAATAGCCTATCTACAGAGATCACAAATTATTGCCTGTTGAAGGACTTGGAACTGGCTGAACAGATATCTGCAGAAGAAACACAGGTATGATTCCCTTTCAGTTAGTGGGGATAATTACGTTACCTTTGAGGTCCCTTCCAGCCCTGTGGTTTTCTATGATATGCGTATTTTGTTATGTTTCTATATAGTCTCCAAAAGGGTTTTTGAAATTTTTATTCATAAAACCAAAAAGCTATGTTTGTGAAATGAATATTCAACATACTGTCAGGCAATGAAACATACAGAAAAGGTACAGTCCCATTCAAGGTCTAATCAAAGTATTTTTTTCCTTGAGAGTGATTCTGGAGGTGGTCATATCCTGAATGTACTGAGGACCTCAAACACTGCTGCAGAATGAACGATGCTCTCTTGCTGAACATTCTGTTCTTATTTTTTATTTTTTACTGACCAACAATAATGTTGCAAAAGAAAAATACTATTTTGAAACAATCAGCCTTTTGTTCGGAAACTGATGAGTAAATGAAGCCTTTCTAGATCTGTCCACAAAATTACACATTTAACTAGTCACTCCTTTCCCATCCCAGAAAAGATGTGTGGATGTTGGCTTTCTTCAGTTGAATGTTGCTGCAGTGAAATTATTTTCATTAAAAGCCCACTCCTAGCAGCACTTTTAAACTTCAGTTTCTTCATCCTAAGACTACTATACAGTAGAGCTAGCCAATGCATTTTCATTGTCTAAAGGAAGGCAGAGGACAGATAGCAGCAGGAAAAGGGAAGGAAAAGAGAAAAAGAAAAGCATTAACATTCTCTAAGGATTGATGGTAAGGTTGGTACTCACTCCTAATCTTACAGGAAGTTAGATCTGTACATCAATGACCATTACCAGCTTTGCAGTGCAACGGTCAGTATGCCTTAAGCAAAGTAGAGATCATCATTTCTTTATTTTCCACACATAGGAAAACCTGAGGCAATGAACAATAAAAAGCTTAAATAACAGCAGATTTCATTCTGCTTCAGATATCTGACCTACTATCTGGTCGGTTATCTTGTATTTCATGACGCAATTATCTTAAAATGAAAAGAAAATACAGTCAATTATGTTAGTCATTTTGATGACATTTTAATATACATACATGAGAGCAGCACTGTACATAAAAATTAAACTAAAAAGGGTAAATGTCACCAGCACTCTTCAACTAACTCTTCAACTAACAAAAAAATCATTCTTCACAGCATATATGCTGCTCATATACCTTTCAAAATATGCCCTATTTTAATACTTTATATTAAATGCAAACTTAATGCAAACGCACTAATGGCATCAAAACATATGCGAGAAAAAAATCCAAAGTCCAAGTTCACAATGGAAAAGTCATGACATATTCAAAGATGCAAAGCTGCTCTCCCTCATATAAATGTTAGACATATTTGCAGGAATTAAGGTGGAAACATTCTGAAGGCTGTTAGTTAAGTTCACAAAAAGAGAATTCAAATCCTCTTCTCATCAGTCCTTCTGAACTAAGCGGCATGTATCTCTGTGAATATATTACAGAGTTGCTCCCTGCATTGAGTTTGGTGTCCTAAATACAGGGTAGGTATATCATTAAAGGTATAAGGGATTAAAAATCCAAAAGCAGTAGGAAGACATTTGAACTGATGCCTTGAAGACTGATTCAGCATTTCTTAACATTCTATTATGACAAAGTTTTAAGAACTATTTCAGTAATAAATGAGCTAAAATCAAGCCTAGAGATTCAGTCACAGTCAAATGGAAGATTTGTTCCTGGTGACGCAGGCTTGCAGCACTGTGCTATTTTCATACCAGTGGCCTGCAGCAAATATTCATTATTGCAACTGTCACTGTTTGGCTTTGGCATAGAAGCAGATTGCTAATATTGTATGGAGCTGGACTCCAGTAGCAAAATTCCTGGTCTTAATATAGCAACAGTATAAACACTAAAAATGTAAAAAATACATATAAAAACTAATCTTACTCACTGGTAAAATCAAAGACTTATTTTAAGAAGAAAATAAAACCAGAGGAAAAACGTTCATTGAATAGTGACTCCATTGGGTACTACAGACACCATTGCTCAGGTGGAAAACTGCAAGTGTGTAATTAAGGTTCTCCTAACTAAGCAGGATTAATTTTATATCCCAGTTACAACTCATGAATTTTCTTTAGACTGAAGATACAGAAAATTACAGTCAACTCATGCTTTTCTCCTCTCTGAGTATATGAAAGTCTCACTCATCAGTTCTTGCTACTAAGTATAAGAATTTCTTATCCTGAAACTATAAATAGACCTACAGAGAGAAAAGCGCTCTTTGGCTTCAAACAGATCACAACTATTTATGAGCTTATTTTCCCTTCCGCAATCTCAAGTGGCACACATTTAAAAATATCTGATTTAGCACATGCTTATGCATTCTGGTCTTATTTAAATCAAACTTTGCCACGACATCAAAGGATTGAGCATTTGGCTCATGAGGATATCCAGAAAAAAACAAAAAGCAAATTCTTTCTTATGCCAAAGAGAACTTGATACAAAATATTTCACTATACTGTAAGACCTCTGAGTACTGTAAAAACCTTTTCAACTGGCTTGCTTGTAGCAAACTTGCATCAAGGAACAGATAGCTCTATTATGGCTGCTTGATGCTGTCATATTCAAAAGAGTCTGAGAGTACTAGAGTCGCAAACCTGCTAGGAACTGGGTGCCCAGTTTCCCTGGGCTGCTTTAAAAATCCCACCATGCATGTCCTCTGTGGTAATTATATTTGAAGACAAGATATCATTTCTTCTGAATCTATAAATATAACAGTGCTTGGCTGACTTTATGTACTCATATGCTTAAACATAA